AATCTTAGGTAGTAAAGTAGTGTGATTCCTCTTCTTCTAACTACTTCTTTATTTCTTTTTGCTTTTTTGTGGAAAAAAAGAACAATGATTTAATTTATTGTACTTGGTTTTTATCTTTCTCGGCTTTCTTGTCTAAGTTTCTGACAGCACAGACTGACAGATGGACAGCTGAAAGCACTTTGTGTCTCACCTCTTGTTCAATGCTGTGGTGAGTTGGATACTTCATCCTGCTTTGTGCTGTGTTTTTGTGCTTACAGACACACATGCTCTGAAGTGGCCGTCGTTTGGTGTGGTGAGGAATATAACTGGTTTACAGTCCTCAGGGCTTGTGTTTACTGGGCACCTCCCTTTCAATTCTGTACTAGTCACAGCAGCTACTGTTGAACTGTGACTGTACATTTCCCACTGAAAGACATGGTGAAAGAAAATGTTAACTTTGAACATCGATTGATTATTTGAAATGTATTCAACACAAGGAAACAGTGTCTCAGAGAAAGGCCCCGGTAGACGCACGGTCTCACTGAGTTACAATCGAAGTAATTTTGCAGTCGTCATGGCTGACAAAGCTGAGAAACAAGGCTGAGGGCAATTCATTTCTATCTTCAAATTCATATTCAGTCAGTTCAACGTTTAAATCAAACTTGCGACTGACAGAGTGGGCAGCAGAGTCCTTGCTTAAGTGTCCTTGAGCCCGACACTGATAGCAAAGGCCCACTAAGGCTTCTCTCTGATTGGTTACCCCTGACCAGCACGACGTTTAGTAAATGTCGATCCACTTTGTGCAACCCATATATTTCTTTGCACTGGTCATTATGCTAGAAACAAATAGGGGTCATATGATCAGACACCAGTAACAATTAATTAGTTCTCAAGTGGTTGAAAGCTGCTGGAAGTTTTATGCAATCAGTATTTGTTTTTCCCCAAGGTTTCACCAAAAAGATTGCTTGCTGAGTTGATGGTGAACTGATCTCAACCTTTGTGTGAAGGGTAAAAACTGAACTTTAGCTCCCTCCATTGGCCTCCCCACGTTTTTTTTTTTTTTTTTTCACATCCAGAAGCCAAGACTTTTGTAACCTGTAAACTGGAGTAAACCCAAGTACCTGCTTACACTTTCACAGTGACGAAGACTGGTGGCTCATCGCTTTATATGAGCAATCATGTGACCCAACACTAAGATCAGTAAGATTAATTATTTGTTTAGGAATAAGTTCCAGTGGAGTCAAGAGGTCACTGGAACGTAGCTTAAAACCAACCATTGTTGATTAATTTTATCTGAGTCTGTGTGTGTGTCTGCCAGGGGACAGTTGACAGTTCAAAGAGGCAGCACAAACAGAAAATTCAACTAATACTTAATCTTTTTTATTGATCTTTCCCAGTGGTACTTCATCATTTTAAGGCACATGTTGTTTTTAAGCCAAGATGATGTGTTATGAGTGATAAGAGATTAAATGATGACTTGTATTTTTAATTCACAAAACCCAGCATCAAGTTGCTTGTTGAGTTTCTTTTTTTTTTTTTTTTTTTTTGTCAAAGTACAGGTCAGGCTGTCGATGTGTTTTTCATAGCGGTATGGAATGGAGTTTAAGCCTCTTTATAATTTGAGATATTTTTCTTATCGGCTGCTTCAGTACCTGCTGTCATTGGCTCCTACAATGGACTCTGCTGGAAAAACCTACTGCTGTGCGTGTGTGCGCGTGTGTGTGTGTGTGTGTGTGTATACTCAGATTTGTCTTTATCTCTCTCTGTACCGCTCCCTCTCTCCCTCTGTCATTTATGAAATATAGTTTGTTAGCTGTCTGGTCTAAAGCCTGCTTGTTGGTTAACTGGAATGAAAGGTTGTGCCATAAAGCCATAAACCTAATCTAACCTGATCTCAAGATTTTTGAAAAAAAAATGCAAAGAGAGCCTTCTTGGAGAGTCTTTTTTTTTTTTTTTGTTTAAGTCAGGCTCAATCTTTGCCTGTGAAACAAAAATTTTAACTGTTCTCATACATCCCTTTCAAACAGCTGAATCATACTTTTGCCACATGTAGAGGTGGGAAGAAGAGCCTAGAAACTGCTTTTCCTCTTCACTCTATTTTTTAAAACCTCTCCTGTGTTGCGTCCCTCTCCCAAAGAACTCCTTCTCTCAGGCAACATCAGTCATTTCTGTAGAGCCCACGCAACATCCACAGTCCATTCTTCTCATTGTTTTTCCCCTGATGCCTCTCTTTTGGATCATTATACATGGATCCCACTCTCTCTGCACGGCCTCAAGGCGAATGACACATCTGAGCAGATTACCATGGGTACAGTAGCTCAGTTTCAAACAGCTTGTTTTCCCCAGAAGGACAAACTGAGGCCAGCCAGTGAATGACTGACTGAATAGCTGGTTTTTAACTTTTTTTTTTTATTGACAGTTACTAATACATCAAAGACCCAACATGTATGAGCTTATAATCAAATGAACAGCAACACTATTCAAACCCCCAGTGGCTTTTTTTTCCATCAGTTTTTGTATTTGCCAACAGGGCTAATCAAATCAAAATACCACCAAATCAAAATCGTTTATCGCTTAAATTGAAGTTCAAAAAACCTTGTTGATTTCTAACGAGAAAACAAAACATTGGCTGCAGTGAAAAGTTAATAATTGATCAATCAGGGCTGCCAGAGTTTCCATCTGCACAAAATGTCCAGCAATGAGCTGTCTGTGTTCAAAGTGTTTTGATGTTGACACATAATTGGTACTGTCTGTGTGTTCAGGGTACTGATCAAAGGTAGTTTGGAGGGTACCAGACATAAAGAGGGCGTGGGTTAGTTGTATTTTTGTAAAGATGAAAACAGTTCTAGTTGGCTAGGGAAAGGACAGCACTTTGTAGAAGGCTTAGTGGCAGGTAGTGCTACTGAAAAAAAAAAAAAAGTCGGAGACATAAAGCATTGTTAAAATGAGTTGTGATGAGTTGAGTCTTTTTTTTTTTTATTTATCATTTTTATTTTGTTTGAAAATACGACACCTGTAGGGAACAAGAAAAAGAAAAGAACTCCTAACTACACAGTGCCACTTGTTAATTTTTTGTAAATAATACTAGACCATGTAAATACAATGTTGTATATGAAAAAAAATCTTTAAAATAAAAGGGAAAATCATTTGTGAGCAGAAAGATTTTGTTTTTATTTTATTTTTGATTTTTTTTCTTCTTCCTTTGGATGATTCAAATGTGACACAAATGGTGTGTATTTCAAGACTGCTATTTCAAAATTTTTGTTTTATTTGAAACGTAATCTATAACAGCGAGTGTATATATAATGAAACACAAAATAATGAGAAATGTTTTACCGTATTATACCCTTGGTTAACTCCTACCTGTGTCATAAAAACCTTTGTCCTCAGTTGCTTGTTTCTTTCTGGTATCATGGTTTTACGGTGCTTTGGACATGTCTATAAGCTTGATTGTGAACAATTAAAGCTTGTCTGTCAAAGCATGGAGACGTGGCTTCAGATCACCTTGCTTTTCCACACTGTAAAAGTGAGGTTGGGCAATGTTACAGCGAGCAGATGAGATGCACCAATGCTCATGACCTCGATAGAAATCACTTTAAATTTCTAGATTTTTGATTTGTGAGATTTACCGTAGAGTGAAGCCATTAGTCACATGAGGTGGCCATAGTGCTAAATCTCTGTAATGCCAGGCTCCAAAGAAAAAAACAAACACACTGATGCTAGGAGAGCTATCCCAAAGGAAAAGGAAATCAAAGGTTCTGAGGTATGTGGGGGAAAAAAAGTTTTTCTATGGAAACAAACCGCTGAATAAACAGCTTCCCCTCTGTGTTGCATACAAACCATCCTTAAAGATTTATGATAATGTTGCATCATTTGATAGAAGAAGGTACTTTAGATCTAACCATCTTTTTTATAACAGTATTATTGAGCCAGAGGCCACAAAGGGTGCTATTACTGCACATTAAAGCATCAAAGCAGAAAAAAGATTGCATCTATTGTAGTTTCTGTACTAATAAGAACCAAATACTCAAACCACACTGGTACAGCACATACAGGAAGATTTAAATGTCACATTTCAAATGTGCTTATACACAGCTCATTTTTAAGTGGTGTAGGCCTACAATAAGTCAAGGACGTCTTCCTAAATGTGTCTTTTCACAGATGTCAAGTACAGCTGGGTGTGAGCTAAGTATTTAAGGCAGTTCTTCCCAGTGTATAAAATACTGTCTGTGTCTTCTGTGTATAAACAGATATTTAGATATGTCTTTATGGGTATCAACTTGATACCCATAAAAAGTCAGATTTGATGATTTATTGTTGGCAAAGTTTTCAACTTGCTCTGCTGGGAACAAAACAAAAAACTAAAGAGAAATAATTTTATTAAATAAATAAACTTGATTGCAATGACATATGATACATATTTAGGTGAGAGGTTAGAACAAGCTCCAGAGCTCTGTCCCTACTCCTGGCTTCAAAATACACTTGAATTAAATATAATTGTTGTATAATTATACATGCCCCTGCTACTCAAAATGCTTAATGAACTTTAAGCCTTAAAAAAGCACAGTGGTCTCTGGCAACATTTGTAAATCATTATTCCTAAACTAACCAGAAGGAGGTGCTGCTGTCAAATGGAGACTGACGCACTCTATGATTGAAATTCAGAAAATGAATGAGGAGGCCACGCCTCTAACACTGGAAGTTTTTAACAGCACACAACTATTCCATGAATATATGGCTATTTATATATTTGACTTTATATAAGTATTTTTTGTCTGGTCTTGTAATAACAAATGACACTGAAAATCACTGAAAATATTAAATTATAAACTCAATCATATATGAATATAACCTGTGGGTTTTATAGGTTGGAAAAGAAAACTGCGTAAAGCCTAATTTAACAACACTAACTCAAAAAAGAAAAGAAAAAAAAGTTTGTCGCTTTAAAAATGCTAATTGAGTTTTGTTGGGGATTTATAGTGACGTCACATCCTGAGGAGAGCTTTGCCTCCTACTTTTTGTTGGGACCTGGGAGGAAATTATCCCGCAGGGGTAACGAGCTGGAATTAAAGAAGAAAAAGAAACAAGAAACAAGTTACAAACCATGGAAATGTACGAGGTTGCTGTTTAGTTGTCTGCAATGCAAGCAGACGTGTTTTCACCGTGAATTCATACGAGGAGGTTTGTGTAAGTATCCCTTCATCCAGGCGTCCTCGGATCCACAAGTGGCTGCGGAGCAAGTGTCTGTCTGATCCAGCTCTCAGAGCTAAAGGCGGCGTTTGTTTTGCTCTACGGGACACAGTCGCACGGTCGGTGTTACACGTATTCTGTGCGTTCGTTGCTAACGGTTAGCTCTTGCAATAAAACAAACGGACACCTTTTTATTTTTGCTTACACCAGGTACCTCAGGCCTGAGCTGAGTTCAAGTGAAGCTAGTGGTTATATTTTGTGTTTTTGTTTGATTAATATTATATTATAATCCAGCGGAAGTGTTAAAGATTTTCTGTTGATTTTTATATTTCAGAGGAGATTGGCAGCATGGAAAGCTCCGTCCGTCTCAGTCCATCTGAGCGGTTTCTTTTTCTGGCAGACCTGAAACCAAGTTTACACATCTTAGGAGTCGAGTAACGTTAGCTGACTGCTTCATTTAGCTAATGTGTAAACTCCCTCTCAAATCTCTTCTCTGTACTTGCCACTGTAAATTTTATATTCGTCGAATACCATTACACAATAAAAGTAAATATTTTATCTATAAGACATTTTTATCCTTGTTAGTTTGAAGTTAACGTTAGCGTTGTTGTAGTGACGTTTTAACACACACCTGTTACTGTTACTATGGATAATCAAGACACTGTTAACTGTGATACCGTGACAAACAGATACTGGTACACATTAACTAACTTTAACTTGATATATTAATATTACTTCTCTCCTTAGCTTATATACCTTATAAAAAGTAATATCCGTAGTTGTTTTTTTTTACTTACTAGCCTCTTGTTAGCCAACATTTAATTTGTCACCTGTAACTGTCACTATATAGAGAGGTTAGGTTGCAGGCAAGCTATTTAGGTAACATAACCAAACGATAATCTAAAATAATAGCAGTTGCGTTTTGTTCCCCCCTGCACCCAAAATATTAGATAGTGGCTAATGTTAATTATATGTGTGTCATAATGTAATAATAGTCATAATGTGAACAACAGTGGTGCACCTGCCAGACTTTAATGTCAGTTAATCATGGTGGGTAACTAGACACCTTCTGGCTGACATTACAACTGTCTACACAAAACCAGTGTATTACACTGGTTAATATTAAAAACAATTTAACACAGAGAGAGAGAGAGCATATTTCTAGTATTTAATTGTTCACCTGACCAATCAAAAGTTTGGACACACTTGCCGATGTGACTGGTACTATATATGTAACATTTCTGAATGCCTGTACAGTTTTCAAATGCAAAAATAGCCTTATTTCTTATGAATTTTAATCTCTGCCCTCACCCCTCACAGGTGTGGTACTGTAACCCTCCCTCTCCACCATCATGCTGAGTTTCCTGCGCAGGACGCTGGGCCGACACTCCATCCGGAAACATGTAGAGAAAACCCGGTTAAGGGAGGCCCAGCGAGCCACAACACACATCCCTGCTGCTGGGGATGCAAAGTCTATCATAACCTGCCGTGTATCCTTACTGGATGGGACGGATGTCAGCGTTGACCTGCCGGTAAGAAGAGTTGCTAGAATTTTAGCCTTTAAATTTTTTAACTAGGTAGCAAGGCTTACTTGTGTATCAGGAGACTACATACAGAGAAAGATATCACACATGAACCTAAATGTACATGGTTTCAACAGGGATGTGAACCTATAAACTGTGTCTTGTAATGGGTTTCCCAGTCTTTTTTTCTATTGTGCATACTTTTCCGCTGTTGTTAAGAGGACAGTTAATGCTCAGTAAATGGATTACAGTTTCTGACAGCTCTCTGTCAAATGGTCATTCAGCTTTACCAACAAGCACAAGAGGTGTGCTATTGACCAATGTATGCCTGTGTCAGTAGAGCAGTCCTTTTAAGCCTATGTAGTGTGAGTGGGAGTGGGAGTGTGTGGTAGTGTTGCAGTGTTGCTGATCACCTGTAATTCCATGATCCTCTCTGGAGAACACACTTAATCACATGACCACATCATGTGACATGTTGGGCTCATCACCAAGTGGACACAGAGCAGAACTTCACTCTTCCCACCTCTGACTGTCTATTCTGTCTTTTCTCATGTCCTGTCCCTTTTTCTCATGCTTTGTTATTTTGTTTCTCTGTATCAACGTCTCCTAGACAAACACCAAGGCACTGCTGGGGAAAACATAATGTAGCGTTAACTATAACAGTGATTTTGAACCAAGGGCATAAATACTTGGATCTTCTTCTGCCATGCAATCTTTATTTTTACCCAGCTCACAGATTACACTCCTGGGACTGTCTGTCTCTCAAATCTGGCAAATCTGCAGCATTTCATTGAGGCCAGTCTGGTATCTAACTGTCCTTTATGACTCTTATCTTTTGCTGTCTGGCATATATTCCAAAGAAAATCTGCTGAAGAGAGTATCATTCCTCATTATTACTATATATATGTCTTGTTATTATTTTAATCTCCAATTTTGTCTATTCTCTACAAAAAAACTCTCTTTCTCTTTACATCTCCATTTATTTTTTTTAGTCTAACTGACTCAGAATGAAAGGAGATCATTCCCTAAAATCAACAAGCATTTCAGAACTTCTTAGCTGTTTAGCAGCCACAAGAATGCATAAATGTATTTTATTCAGCACGTCTCGTAAGTGATGTCACACATTTTTCAGCCAGTCTGCTGTAAATCCCTCCTATCAGCTCAGTATTATGTGCATAGAGAGGTCAGATTATATTCTTATTCAGTCTTTCTAGTGGAATGTCATCTGCTTGGACTGTTTTTGCTTTCTCCCTGTTTCTCTTTATCTCTCTTGCTCTCTGTCTTTTGTTAATACTCGAGCAGAAATGATTGCTGGCTGTTTTTCCTGTGTTAGTTGTTATTTTTTAATACCAATTTATTTTACTGATGGAGTTAATTGATTTTGTCTCATCCTAAAAGTACTTTCATGCCTTAAAAAGTCCCAGGCATTTGCTGTGTGCACCTGAAGAAGGTTTTCAAATTCACTTGGATATCTGAATGCATTCCAGCAGGGCCCTGGCCTTGCGTTGGGTTTCAAATGAGCTTTCTTTGTTTTTCCCCTCCCCCAGATATAGGTAGCTTCTGCAAACCCTTATTTCTTATCATTCGACTCTCTCTAAGTGATAAGGTAATAAGAAAAACACACAACACAACCAGGCAAGACATGTGGAAGAGAAGACATCAAGGAAAGAAGTCTCGTCTTTGTTAAAGATGATTTAAAAAAAAATGTGTTCAAAATAAGCATATGAGACACAGACCTTCCTATATTTTAAGCCACATTTCTCAATTAGCTCTTACAGTGCAGACAGTCCCACCTAGGACCTTTAAGTATATACTGTGCTAGTTCTGTAACACAGGCCACAGAACTCTCATTGCAGGAACAGTGTGAATATAAACATAGACTAACCATATGAGAGTCGAGGGAAATTGAGCACGTTTGCAGGGAAACATTATCAGTGTTTCAGCCAGTCTTATCATTTCGTTAAACAGTCCCTGAGAAAAAGTTCATCTTAGCACATTACTGCCTTCTGCATATGGTCTTTGTTTGCTTTAAGTGTAGTTTATGGTCTATATGGCCTGTGTAGTAGGATGAGATCTATAAAACAAGTTAACACAGTTTCATTCTCAATTAAAAAGACTATAGCTCCCCTTGTTGTAGTTTGGAATCATGTGGTGTTTTTCTTAAGCTGCACAGATGTCAATTCAACTCAGGGTGGCAGAAATGTGGGGGACCCCCCTGCTAAACGGTGCAGTTTGTTTTTCTATTTAGATGTTCAAGTGGCTGTAGATGCAGAGACACAATCTAAAACTGAATAGGGCCCATTCACATACTGTGGCTTTCCAGCTGTGTGTGTCCCTAGTATATAAGGCCACCCAAAGTTGTCTCCCTGGGATACGTCTGTTTAGCAGCATCTATGTCCACACAGCCTTATGATTCACATTCTTTACTTTAAATGTATTTAGTTCCCTCTCTTTTCTCTTCATCTTTGCCCCCCACTCACCATCCTATAGCCACCTACACTGTCAACTCCTCCATCTTCCCTTTTCTCTTGTTGGAAGATTTGTAGCCCAAACAAAAGGTTAAGCACATACATGCTTTTTTAATTTTTACACAAAATAAGTTATTATTCCATTAATGGTAGTGCAGCTCATCGTTTCAGGGAAATGACTGAACATTTGTTTATTAACAAATGTTGCAGTATTGTTGTATAGTGCAGCCATGATGGTAGAACACACTGAAGAATACACAAGGATTAGAACTTTTGGCCAGCCGATGATAATGAAAGCAAACTGTTCAGCTGATTAAGTGTCAGCTGTGTGGTCACCTTGGGTCTGGATGAGTATGTGGTATTTGCAGAGTCACACAAACTTAAATGTGCATGTGACCTGATGCATGATTGAGGACAGACAGATGATTGCTTCATCTTATCTTTTTTTAATGTAATGAGTAAACATGGCCCTGAAATAATACGTTAAGGGATGTTATTCCTTTTATGGATAGCCATGCTAAAAATGCTAGTTTTTACAGAACAGTCAGGTAAAGCATCAACCAAACTGCATGATTTTTCCTTTTTAAAAACCCTTATCCTTCAACTTTAACAGGTGCATTACTACACTGGTTGGTGTATGGATGTCTACGGATGTCTGTAGATGACAGCATCAGCTCAATTGTAACTTAAATATTCTGACAGTGTCTGAAGGATAGAGCTGTATGCTCAAAGGCAGGCAGAAAGACAAACAATACTGCAAGCACTATAACAAGGGTTTGGGTGCAACACATACACACACACACACACACACACACACACACACACACACACACACACACACACACACACACACACACACAAACACAATGAGTCCTTTGTACTGTCTCTCCCTGGGTACTGTAGGGGTGCGGTATGCCTTCTCAGCTATGCCAACTAGCATGGGGCCAGCCCCCCTGAGCTGCCCTGGAGCTCTCTCGGGGTGTGTGTGTGTTTGTGTGTGTGTGTGTTTGTGTGTGTGTGAGAGAGAGAGAGAGTGAGTGAGAGTGAGTGAGTGAGTGAGAAAGAAAGAAAGAAAGAGGGAGAGTGTGTGAAGGAGACACAGGGAAACCTTTAGAGCACCCGCGGTCCTCTCCTTTGCTGATCCATAGTTTAGCTTTTTTAACTACTTTGATTCGCAAACATTTTGTACATAGTTTATATGAAATAAGTATGTTTTTGTGAGGACAGTAACCGTGTTCATTCAAGTTAATTTGAAAAAGAGAGTGATCCTAGACTTATGTATGATTATTTGTTTATAATCTCAATATTAAAAATTTAAAAATATTTTTTAAAAATTAGTGTTGATTTTGACCTGGTAGCATGGGAGTAGCAGGAGTGGTGAAATGTTTTTATGTATGTTGCTTTGAACCCACTCCAGTATTTTATTCAGGGGATACCTGGGATACAATCAGCCATATTCCGCCTCAGCCATACTCTTGATTAACATTACAGATCATTTTAGTGCAAGCGCAAATATGGTTAAGGAATGAATTGATCAAAAGTGAAAATAAGACAATATCAAGATGGACAGAGGAGAGAAAAATCCAGCTGCTGGTTGATCTTACATCTTTTCCTAATTCATAGAGCCACATGATCACATGATGTGTTCAGCCACCCCACTTCCCTCAGCTCCTGGGCATCTGGGGCACTTCAACCCAGTTACTATAGCAACCCAGTCGCTGTGCCTCATGGTGGGGTTAGGAAGGTGTGTGTGTGTGTGTGTGTGTGTGTGTGTGTGTGTGTGTGTGTGTGTGTGTGTGTGTGTGTGTGTGTGTGTGGAGTGTGTGAGCTGTGTGAGTGTGTGAGTGGTGTGAGTGTGTGAGTGTGTGAGTGTGTGAGTGTGAGAAGACAGAGTGCACATGTGAGGGAGAGTTCTCCCAGTTGAAGGCAGAGCACAGGCAGTAACTGGTACGGCTTGGTCAGAAAGGGCAGCACCTATTCCAACTTTGAATACTTCATGTTAATATTTTTTCTCCTATCTCTCTATATTCAAACCCATAAAAAACAAATCACAACAACATTTATACTTAAACCAAGTAAAACATTCAAAACAGTATTTTGAAGAGGTGCAAAAACTAATTTAGAAATGTCTAAAACCCTAACTAGTATTTTTTTCAAATGACCATGTTTTGTTTTTGTTTGGTTTTTTTAATACCTTTGCTTTTTGGATTTCATTCTTTCAGAAGGCTTCATTCATGACTGAGTAAAGACCCTCCTCAAATCCAAAACTCAGGAAACAGGAAAAGCAAAAGCCATATTTCACAGTCCTACATTCCTGTGCTGTAATGCAAACTTAGGTTTTAGATGGACGTTTCTTCAGGACTCTGTTGATATATTAACCATTCATAGAGTCCCCTTTATTTCATTATTAAGTACTTTTGCATGACCCCCATCATGAGTGTCAGTCCTCACTGTGAACTTTGACGCTCAGATATTGATGTCCCCTCTTTGTTTGTGTGTTCTCAGAAAAAAGCCAAAGGTGAGGAGCTGTTTGAGCAGATTATGTACCATCTGGACATCGTAGAGAAAGACTACTTTGGACTACGCTTCATGGACTCGGCACAAGTGCCGGTAAGATTGGAGATGCACTTTATGCAGTAGTCTCTTTTATAATCTTTGTGTTTGTTTTTTCACTTCATGCCATGGTATGGGTGCATAATCTGTTGGGTTGAACAGTTAATTTTGAAAAATAATGTATTGTGACTTTTAGTTCCCATAATTAATGATCATGGGAAAATATTAAAACATGAAGATAACAAAATGATTTTGAAAAGTATCTACTATGGTGAAATTATCCACATCTGTTCAGTAGTATTATTTTATGTTTCACCAAGTGTTTGAGGCATTCACTTCCTAGCCAGACTTTCCATTTCAGTCCAATTCACTATTCACCCATTTGGTGGAAGGCTTGAGACAAGAACTTTCCCTTTCAGTGAATGGGCTAAAGGGATTGGTTATGGGACTCTTGTCAGCTCTGGGAGTCAGGCTGTGCTCTGAGACAAAGCGTTTTAAGTCAGTGGTCTGACACTGACCCTGTTCCTTCACTCTGATACTCTGTGAAGGCCATGGAAGGAAGGAGAGCTGGTGGGAGTAAAGATGAAGCAGAATGGAGGGACAAAGAGGAGAGTGGTGGAGGTAGACAGTGAAATGGTTGGGAGAGCAAATTGAAGTTGAGTGACAGAGAGAGGGAGGACTGTAATAAGGAATGTGGGGGAGAGTAGACTAGAGAGTGCTGAGAGTTCCTCCCTTATCTCTCTGTCTCTCTCTCTCTCTCTCTCTAACCTACACATGCACACACAACACAACCACCACTGCCACCTCTCCTTGACGTTGTTCATGCCTCACAGTGCCTTCAAGAAGAATTATAGCACTGACCAGAACGCTGACTTAAATGTGTTTGTATGTGTCTGTGTGCTAACTTTTCATCAACTTGTCTGTTTTATTTTTGTGGATTAATTAATTAATGTTTGTATGTTAAATACAAGCAGGTATAAGAGTTGTGGAAAAAAAGCATATGGTCATGTGTCAAAGTGAATAATTTTGTTTTTATTTTTTTTGTACTAAACTTAAGCTAGCTAAAGATGCAGTGCTTTTTAGAGGGACAGGCAGAAATATAATTATCACATCAGTTAAATTATGACTATTGTATATTGATTATTCAACTTGCCATAACAATTTGTTTTTTTAAATACTAGACCTTGCTGAAGATGCTGTGCTATTTTAATTGATAATAATCTGCATTTTGTTTCAGCATTGGCTTGATGTTTCGAAAAGTATCAAAAAGCAAGTGAAAAGTAAGTATACAGAGGCCCTGCCTCAACCTATTTCCTTTCCTTTCCCCAAACATACAGAACAACTTTTTCTTTATCAAAACATCCAATGAACAGAACATTTATCTCTACTCTCCTGCATTATTACTGTATGTTATGTGTTATATTAAGTTAACTACATTTTTTCATCCTAGTACTTTGGTTATTACATACATTGTGATCGTAAATTGGATTGTTAAACTTGATAATATTTACTCAGCTGTGATTTTGATGTGTCCTTTAGTCGGCCCACCATATTGCCTTCACTTGAGAGTGAAGTTTTACTCTTCAGAACCGAACAACCTGCACGAGGAGCTGACCAGGTGAGTTAAGACGTGCACACGTAAACTTTCTACTGTAGCTAAATTTCTCCAACACACAAATTAAAAAAAAAAAAAAAAAAAAAGGTAATTTGGCCTACGTTAATCTCATAAACCTTCAAAAGTTGGTGTTTCATTGGGTCTCTACAAGCAGGTTGTTTTTTAAGTGTGTGTGAACGTAAACATAATAATAAAGTTTTACTGGGCTTTTATATTTATTTTTTGGCTGTTTGTTTTATGGGCAAAAACATTCTAGTCACATGACTAGCAAGTCTCCTGCAGGGTTAATTTAACTCACACAGATCGAAAAGCTACTACCTAATGCATTGATTTTTTTTTTTACCAATCATTCACAAAATATAAACCATGATTGGCTTCAGTGTTCCATGCTACCCGTTTGGAATAGATGGTTGTTTTTGTATCATATCCCCTAAAACTGCCAAATTTAGTCAAGTTTGACCATATTTAACTGTATTGTTTTGTTTTACTTTCAGATACCTATTTGTGTTACAATTGAAGCAAGACATCCTCAGTGGAAAGTAAGTAATTATCCCACATTTTAACGATTCATCGTAATAAAGTACTGCACACAGGACAAAACCTAAAGTGATGTCATGTTACGCCAAGGAAATGTTCAGTTAGAGAGAGGGACAGACAGAATCACAGCCATCAAATTAAGACTGACGCATATATAGACCTGACAGTGGCATGTCAGGAACATTTTTCCACTTCACTGATTAAGTCATGCCTGCAGTTGATGCAGTTACTGTGGTAAGCATTAGTAATTACAGGTGCCTTTTTAAAACACAGACTAAATTGATCAAAACAACTTGAAAATCCCAGAAAAATGGTTCCCCTTATTTTTATTATCAGAACACTTTAGCTCATAGAGTGATGTAGCAACTTCAGATGTTTGATTTTGTAGTTCAGGGTACCTGCTCCCATGTTTGTTCAACACATTCTGAGTGGGTATCCAGTCTGATTGTTCAGAGGCTGTCAGAGTGAGTCAGTCTCAGAGCAGACAAGAGCAGATAATCAGCTTATCCCAGGGTGAGAAACACTAACAATTAAACTTTCTTCGCGTACCCTCAGTGCTGGCCCATGTCAACATTTTTCTGCTTCCTGGAAAGTCATTTTCATTTAGCACTGCATGTGTTATTTAACCTGTTATTTCACACAGCTAACTTCACTAAATCACTTGACCGACACAATACACTGCCTTTCTTCATCAGTTGATATCCCTTCAAACCTGAATCCATCATTTGTGTTGGTAGTCATGGACATCTTACTTTAAGAGGATTACAGGATTACATGTTGGTGAACAGAATAGATTTATTAACAGTAGTGTGTTAGTCTAAATTTTTATTACAAAGAGATTCACTTTTTTTTTGCAATGTTTGGAGAGTACTAATAGGAAGTGGTAGAGACCAGTAGGCCTCAGTGACAGTCAGAGGTGTGGTGGCCTGTGGCAGTGTTTATTAATTTTGCTGTGACTGACTTTTTCATGTCTATATTTTCAGGCTAGAATGTCCATTTGACACAGCAGTGGAGTTGGCTGCCTTCTCGCTACAGGGTAAGCACAGCAGGTATCCAGGATCTCTCCAACTTGTTTTGGTAGTTGGATTCACCTTTGTAACTCTGCCATTGTAGGTGTAATGTTTTAAGCAGTGTAGACTGCATTGCAGAGTTGAGATGTGTGCTTTCTTTTGTGCACAGAACGCCTGCGTAGCAAAAATATAGCACCAGTGTGGTGTGAGTCAAACGAGCCTTTGTAAGTTTTAGGTTGGAGCATTATATGCTTGTGTACAAAGTGGCTTTTCCCTCTGCAGTGTATATGTCCTTTTTCTTAAAGCTAGTTTCTATTTGTCCACATAACATAAATCTGTTACAACTCTCCCACATGCCCAACAGACATTGCTCCGAAGCCCTATGCTTACTTTGTAGCTGGTGAGTCCATAACAGAATGTACCAACATCTCACCAAGGCGCTCACCTGACACAGCCATGTGCTCCCAAGTCCAGCTGCCAGAGTGGACCCTTGTGTCTCTGCTCCACAGGAATTTTCCTTGATCTTTTCAAAGCAGTCATGGCTGTCCTTGTGAATCACCATCTGCTTTGAGTGACGTTCCTGGCAACATTTGCTGCCATGGTCACTGAGGCATATAAACCCCTTCACTACAATAAGATTGCAAATCAAAGGAGTGGTGTAGCTTTAGGTGGAGTGGTAGAGAATGAAATAACAGGCACACGTAGCTGAGATGTAATTTCCCATACTACATTGAGGGGGAAACACTCAGACTTTCAAAAGAGCTGTTGCTCCTCTGCATTAACAGGCTGATGGGCTCTTAGAAAGCGATAGGCTGCTATTCATTGTGAATGAGACCTGGCGTTGCAGCTCCGCGCCGCCTGCTGAGCTACAGAGATTTAAAAGGAGAGGAGCCAGCTGAGTAATGTGGACAACTGTTTCAGACTCACCACTGGAGAAGTTGAGGGATGTTGTTGGGAGAAGGTTTGTATTTAGGCTTCTCTTCCTGCCAGTGCAATGATTATAAAATAGACAGATAATAAATTATGTGACTTTAGGGGCAATTATATTTTGATATTCATAAATCCAAGGACAACAACATTTTTTAAAATCATACCTCTGTGTCTCTTTCTAGGACCTTGAAATTCTTTCATTACATTTCTGCTGCTATTGTGTCTCACTTCTGTTAATTCCATAGCATCTTCAAATTTTCTCCCAAGTTGTGTCAGTCAAATATCTCTGTAACAGAAGGCATATTCTCCCTTGCTTACTGGCAATATTTGGTTATCGAACTTCAATTTTAAAGTTCAGAAAAGGATAGCTCTTGATTTTTCCATGGTTATGTATAGTATGTTACATTTAAAAATGCACTAATGGAGCAGAAGTTGGGCTTCCTCTACTACCAAATATTGAAACTACGCTATTTTTTTAAGAAGTGCTAAATGCTGCATTTACCTGCAAGAGCCACATAAAGAGAGGTTCTTCAGAGGAACAAAGATTGGGTCAGTAGAGACATTTATGGAATGGGATTGCGTGTAGAAACCCTTGGACACACACACACACGTACACACACACAGTCACTGTGGGGTAAATGCCAGCTCATTAGTGCTCCATCCTCTTCAGAGGCCCCCTAATCCAGTACCCTTTCTGTCTTCTCTCTTTTCCACAGTTGAGCTTTCTCCCTTCATTTTCCTTTTTTCAGAATCATGTTGTTGATCCACTGACATTTATTGGGACAGGAATAGGACGATATTATCTTTATGTTGAGGCTTTGCTCACAGCTGGACTAGCTAAACTGTGAAGAGCTCTCAGCAAATCCTAGATTCTCCTATCTACCCAAACATTGCAAAATGTAATCAGGCCCAGGACTTTCAGTCTTTGTCCACTTTCTCTACACAACAGTACCAGAGATAAGGTTTTTCATTTTGTCTTGTGTTCAACATACTATACTCATTCTTATCCAGTGAAGATTTATGTTGTATTCCTGCCTCAGTGTCCCTTTGTCTCCTTTTTTCACCTGATTAACTCTGTGACCTCTTGTCCAGTGAGAGTTAAGTCCCTGACCTGATGCTACACAACACTTTGTTTTGCTGGGACATGGAGGGAGGGTTTGTTTGTTATTTTGTCCATTAGGATTCCCATTACCTACCACCACAGTATTAGGCACTCTTCTCATGGTCCCCTCCCAGGGGTGGAAAATCATGGTCTCAGTGACCATTAAAGGATTATTTGAATGTTTTTTGGTCTTCAGTTGAACTGAACAGTGTACACATGTACAGTCTCATGCAGTTCACGACCACAGTCCCTCAACAAATCTATCGTTATCACCTATTGTCACCTATTCTGCTCAGGGTTGGAATTGACAAGTATGTTTGTCTGTGTGTTTTCAGCTGAGCTGGGTGATTGTGACCCATTAGAACATAATCTGGACCTGGTGTCAGAATTTCGCTTCATCCCAAACCAAACGGAAGATGTGGAGCTAGCTATATACAACACATGGAAGGAGTGCAGGTTTGCATTTCAATATTACTTTATAATGTGTGGGCTTTGTCTGAAACGGTTACCAGGAACACTGCCCTCCTCTTTTTTTTTTTTTTTTTTTTTTTTTTTTTTTTTTTTAATCATCCTCTCTGCTCGGAGCTGCAGATGTGTTTTTGTTGATGCATTTCTTTCCATTTATTACCTACTCTATTTTTTCCTTCCTCTCCTTCAGAGGTCAGACACCAGCCCAAGCTGAGATTAACTACCTGAATAAAGCCAAGTGGCTAGAAATGTATGGGGTGGACATGCATATGGTCAAGGTAACTGACACACTCTTTCTCTTAAGCATGCACTGTATAGCCTGAATCTACTTGTTTCACATATGTGTAGTTGCACGTACATGGAGTTGCACATCAATAGCATAGCTGAGATTTTAAAACAGGAAGTGTCCTACATAAAAGTCAGGAAGTGGAAGGAATGTGCATAAGAGCATAAACATGTGATTGGGTCATAAAGCTGTCTCTTCTTTTCTTTCTTCTTCCTGCTTTCTGTCCATATCTGCCCTGCAGGCAAGAGATGGTAATGAGTACAGTCTGGGTTTGACACCCACTGGAGTTCTGGTGTTTGAAGGACAAACCAAGATCGGACTCTTCTTCTGGTATATTTGGTTATGAACTAATTTACTGAAATATTTACTTAAATGCTTTATTGAAACAACATTTAATTTTGTGTGTGTGTGTGTGTGTGCGCACGTGTGTGTGTGTGTGTGTGTGTGTGTTTGTTTGTTTGTTTTAGGCCCAAGATCACTCGTCTAGATTTCAAGAAGAGCAAATTGACTCTTGTGGTTGTGGAGGATGATGAACAGGTGAGCAGGAGCACATACGTTCACCATACATACAGTACTATGAATGGTATCTGACATTTATAACGACTATAGTTGCAACACTTTCGTGTTGCAGTCAAGGCCATAAAAGTGAATATAACACTTAACTGTATCACCAATTCTTTGCTGTCACTTACAGTTTGTATTATGAGCATTGTTATCAATTTTTATGGAAATGTGGGGGTGTGTATGAATCTGAAAGAGTAACCAAACACTTTGCAGAGGACGGCAGATGCAGTCACTTTGTGTTTAAGGTGTTAACAGTTGATTCCAATTATAACACAGTTTCATGGCAAAAGTATTAAACTAAGTAAACTTATGTTTGAATTTTATAAATGCTATCTAAACTCTTTGTGAAATGTAAATATTAAATGCTTAAAGTCTATAAATTACTACAGCTGGTAAAATTAATTGACCCCAAATCATCTGTTACTTACAAAAGCAAACCTGAAACAACCAAACAAACATATCACTTTGCACTTCAAGATAAATCTCAATATTTTCACGTCATAAACTTTTCACATTTTTTACAAAAAGTAGACCATGCAAGTTATTTTTTGATCACTTGAAACACAATGTACAAACATGCAGAGTGTGCTCTGTTTGTAATAAAAAGAAATGAAATAATGAAATAAATCTTTTGTTTGAAGTAGTGCCCGACCCTTAAAAGAGGTTGGTACGAAAACAAAATGAAACGAGACTTAAGACTGTAGTACCCAGAGGCTAGTGTATATAAGAGGAGAGTCTGTTTATGTCCATGCTGGAGGTCTGTGAGTGAGGTTAATAAAGAAGCCTGCCCCCTCTGGTATTTCTGGTATGCACCATTCTCCTACACACACACACACACACACACACACACACACACACACACACAGTTCTCACCTCCCAGCTCTGTCCTAAACAGTTATACTGTTTGCTAGCCTTGTCACCCCAAGAATTTACTGTGTACACTGTACTTGAGTTTTTAATTCTCTAACAAGATGCTTGTCTGTCACACACACAAAGCAGGAGCTTTAGAGATGAACCCAAAAGAGAGAGGCTGGCTGTGAGAGGGTTATTGCATTGACAACTGTTACACATATTTTCAGAGTAAATTGTGTCTGCTTTCTAACAGTGGATGGTGGAAGTGAATCACATCCCATTGTCAAAGAGAACAGGTGGTTAGTTAGAATGCACAGAAGGGACCAAATATTTTCCTAGTCGACTGGTAGCCGTTAGTTCAAGCCATTAGTCGACTAGTTATTGCATGTTTATGATATTAATTAACTTATTCAAACATATATATATTGGCTCCAGCCAATTTTTTGGCTCCAGCTCAATCTTTTAGAGTAAGAATGTTACAAGAAACATTGTTGACACTGTGCTACATTACAGAGAAATACAAAACTATAAATTAGCCTTTAAAACATAAGTATTACTGTCTTGTGTCTTCTGTGTGTTTTGATATTTGAGGTCGTGTGTTCCCTAAAAGTTGCTGCCCGCTTATGACACATGTGCTTGGAAAATAAACAAGTTCTTGCTGGTGTTCATCATACTTGGTTTCTATGTGCACAGTATGTCTGTGAGCTTGTGTGTGTACAAAGCAAAGAAGTGTGTAAAGAATATGACTGTGATACTGGAATGGCTGCAGTGCAAGTTTTGTAAGTGGCTGTGGTGCTGGGCAAGCTTCATCTAGACTTCAAACACTGTAGTGCAGCCATTCATTCTTCACGTCAGCCTCTTTCCACAAGTTAGAGCTAGTGCATGAGCTTTGTTTTTACGGAAAATATATTGGCTAGGACTAAAATAATTTTAATGATTTTTCAGTTTGTTTTGAATTGAACCTGCTATAGCTAATTGTGTGGATGATTATACAACACTGTGCCATGATTGGAAGTTCTATTATATTTGAAGATGCTCACATTAGATGCTTTCATGTTACTCTACTGACACCTTACCCTCTTCTCTGCTTGACCCAAATCTAACCCCATGCCAATCCTTCACAGGGTAAAGAGCAGGAGCACACTTTTGTCTTTAGGATGGACCATCCTAAGGCCTGTAAACACCTGTGGAAGTGTGCTGTGGAGCACCATGCTTTCTTTAGGCTGAGAGGGCCAGTACAGAAGAACTCTGCACGCTCTGGATTCATACGCATGGGGTCACGCTTCAGATACAGGTAACCAAGTAATCAAAGGGTTAGGGAGGCTTTTGAATGATGGCTTTTTTGTATGTATACAAGGCTTACAAGATATTTTAGGGCTTAAAGTTTTCTGGAAGTTTTAGATTCACAAAATAAAGTAACAGCACAGTTTTTTGTTGGGAAAGAATGTTTGCAGTGATTTCTTTTTCTCATGTTTTGTTATTACATTAATTCACAATGGATGAAATTTTTTCCTTTAATCAACTGGAAAAACTAATGTCAGTGTAAAAACAAAAATCTTCATTTTTATCTAGATTAAGTACAAATGTGAAACATAAAATTAAAATGATTATATGATAGATAAAATGAATGATAAAATTATTAGACAAGCATTCAGCCCCATTAATATAACACACCAAAATCATCACTTGGTTCCAACTGGTTTCCCAAGACTCAAAATTGCTTATATAAAAGAAGACAGAAAATTGCGGAACAGTTAAGTGCCACAAATTTAAAGAGCCATGTTTGTTTCTGTACCCTGTGTTTAAATGTACCAACAGAGATAATCCTGGTGTGACATACAGTATCATTCCTCTGTGCATACAAAAAACCCCACATGTGTACACACAGATACTTGCAGTGGTACAAACCAGGCACTCAATGTCAACATACTGCAGTAGCCAGCTAGTTCCCCTCTCTGTGTGTTTAAACATTACCCAGTTGGATAAGCACTGGCAGTAATGTTGGTTTAACACAGAGGTTACAGGGTTTGTTGTTAAAGGAAGGTTATCGCCTGGATGGGTCCAGAGTTCAGTGGGGGTCATCACTGCGCCTGTTGTTTTTGAGACAATGAGATTTATCAAAAAGATAACTAAGAAAAGTTGAATTTTGTATTTAATGTTTTGGCCTGCGTTAGTAGTTACCATGTAAGTGTAAGTCATTGTAAGTGTAAATTAAGTTTTTGTCCTTGTGTGTGTGTTTTTGTTACCAGTGGCAAGACAGAGTATCAGACAACCAAGGCCAACAAAGCAAGGCGGTCAGCCTCCTTTGAGAGAAGGCCCAGTCGACGTTACTCAAGAAGAACCATGCAGAACAGAGGTGAGTACAATACGCCTGTAGTCTCACACCTGCACAGCACACATGATTTTACAGACTATATACATGACAGTTAACAAAAGCACTTTAACCATCCCATAGTAAAAAATGTACACATGCAAGCTCATGTGTGCATAAAATATATACACACTCTATGTCCCATTACCCATTATATCAGAAATAGAAATGTCTGACATGATGTTAAGATCACACTTCCATGCATTCTGTGTTTCAAGTTCATTCATTGTCGTATACATCTTCTGTGTTTGTGTTTTTACAGGACCATTCAATCCACAGGAGTGAGTACACTGATGTTTACTAAACTATGTGATTGTGCCATTACCTGTTTAAATGACTTAATCTGTCCTACCCCTGTTGTACATCTTTAATTTGGGGGCGGGGTCACCTACACACACACACACACACACATACACACACACACACACTTTCTCTCTCTCTCTAACTCACTCTCTCTGTTTCTCTCTCTCTCCGTTCATTCAGTTTCCCCATAAGGCTTGTCTGTAATCATGTTGCAGAGGTAGCCTTTTGTTAAAGGGATATGTGTGTGGGCTAAAGACATGATGTCAGTGGTAGTTTTAAGCTATCATGGGACCAACTGACTCAAAGCATTGCGATGATAAAAATTCCTCTGACTTTTCATCACACCTAATTGAACAGACCTACACTCTGGAAATGCTGCTACTTTTGAAGCAACAACCCTGACGAAAGGATGTAACAATGCCGACTTAAATAAGGATTGGGATTTGTGAATTGGCTTGTGGATAACCTGGCAGACTAAATAACAAGAACATAATTGGAAAAGTGTTACCATGAATTTATCCAAATTGTACATCTGCATAGTCCAAAATGTGGTTCATGCTGTTTAGAATTCTTTTGAGGTGTTGTTAGTTGTGCTGTTAGTTTTTTCAATAAAATCTCAATTTCTTTCTTTGCTCAGAGTTCTTTCCTCAGGAAACGGAGTCAGCTCCAGCAAAGACAACAAGGTGAGGGGCTGTGTTTTTTAATCCCTCCTCCATTATAGTGGGAAACAAAAGAACAGCACCACAGACTCAAGCTGGTTTTGAACTCAGATAGACAGCACATAGAAGACCAAATCATTAGATACAGTTGGCTAATGTAAAATATTAGTGCTTTTACAAAAGTATTACAATGAAAGTGACACTTAATACCTCTCTACCATGTCTACTCCCTTACTTGTTTGCTCTGTTCCATATATTTCCCATCTTTCTCTCGCCCCCTCAGGTTTCTCCCAGTAGAGGTGCCTGGTCAAGCGTGCCTGTGGTCACCCCAGCAGCTGCTTCTGCCTGTGGACCAATGGAAATCGAAGCACTGCCCAGGAGTCCTGGAGGAGAAAAAAGGAGGTTGGTTCCTGGATAAATTGAATGTTCCAGGTTCAGTCATTTCGTTAAAAGTGCAATTATCTTTCATATGCTAGCGGCAGCTTACAGGACCGGTGAGGGAAAAAGAAACAGGTTAGGAAAGGTTGGCATGGACTAACCAATCCCTGTTGGGTGCTGAAAGAAGTAGGTGGATAGCTAGGTGTGTTTTTCATGGTCTGAGGCCATGATAGTGGCTTAACGTGGATTATCCACTGACCCTGTCTTGTTGTGACCAGGGCAGGCAGGAAAGAAGGGGGTAGGAAGGCAGAGAAATTGAACATATTCTTTTTTTCTATTTGTGCCTTTATGTCCCTTCCATGCATGGCTGTTCTATTTCCCTATTTTCAAGTTCCTGCTCTGTTTTGTGAGCATGAGTTTTGTGCGAGTATAATACAACAGAGTTACTTGAGTGTCAGCATGTATGTGACTTTGTGGATGCAGCACTCACCTGAAGACTATTATAGCAAAAGTATATACATTCAGGCAGATGGTAGAGTTAAACTCATGGGAAATGGACTGCAGTTAGACAAGAAGCAGGCAGACTGATACTGTAGAGCAAACAGAGACAGGCAGTGGATAGATGAGCAATCAGAATCAGATTTATTTGTCACTACCATAATATGCATTTCAGCATATATGGAAGCAAAACACCGTAGTCCACAAATCAGGGTGCGTTGCTTGGATCACTTCTCCTCGGTACCACCTATATTACCTTTTTTATTGTTTTAGTATGTCATAGCTCATTGCTTCCTCTGTTCTGTCATATTTTTGCTATATTTTGTGAGTGTGCGTGTGTGAATGTGAGAATGCAAATGGAAAAGTAAATGTACTTATGCATACAAATATGTATGCAACCTCCTTATAGTTATAAACCTGCGATGTTCCCCTGTGTGTTCCAGTATTAACATGTACTGAGGACTTGGTCTTGTCTGGAGGCAGGCCAGGTAGGTACGATCAAGCACTGAATTTTGCCATTGCTCTGGCTTTAACCAATCAAACACTGTGCAGTGATGGGCTTCATGATTCTGGCTTTGGGAAAGGTTCTCTCCCGCAGTGCAATTGTCTCCTTTGATTTCTCTGTTTGTCCACTTTTGATCAGCATGAAATTCCAACCTAATCTGTGCAGGAAATGATGGGATGATTTTTGTGGGGATTTTGTTTGGCATCATGAATCTGTGAAGTGATGATTTCAGCTGAATCTGTTCTGGTCAGGAATTGGATGTGTGCAGAGGTGTCTGTTCTTTCAGTCATCTAATGTCATGCTGTGCATCCTGTAAACCACCCGCTCTTCTTTAATGCTTATTTATGTTGTAAACTCTACAATAGTTTACAAGATATGATAACAATATTTGAGAATTAGTGGAAGTTTTGCTAGCATATTGATGATGCTATGGCCTTATCAAAAAATGTGAGGTTTTCAGTGGTGACACCGTAAGACATTACTCACCCACATGCTTTTTCCCAGTTTAAAGTAAGTAGTCTAATGTCCTAACCAGGCCACTCTGGCCTCTGCTTAAACAAAGCTCATTCACATTTACAGCTAAGGCTGATCCTACTTCTAGTAAATTTCTGGTCAGCTGTAATAAGAGGATTGCCTGTCATTTCTGTAGAGCAGTGGCATTTTTTTATGTAGTACTCTTTAAAAGCAGGGTGCACAGACATGATCTTGGAAAAGGCTGGTGCATAGACAACATGATGATGTATCACACTAATTATACTGTATCCTCCTCTTTTAGACTTTGTTGCTCAAAGGTAAATCTTATAGGCTGCACATACTGATTACTCCTAAAAATTTTCTTGATTTTCTTTATTTTTCTGTCTGCAGTGTTCTTTAAAACACACTCTTTTTATGTTGTGCAGCAAGGGCTCTCGATATTTTTACTTCCCAGTTAGTGTCCGTTATGAGTGTGTTAAAGCAAGATTAAGTTTGCCAGTGATGCTACTGTTTTCAGAAGACGTAACGGGTACAGGCCCACATTTCTCTGTGAGGTTATGCTGTCAAGCCCTCAGAAAATGCTTCAATCATAAGAAAAATGTCTTACCAACACTGACGCAAATGCTACTAAGTATTTTATCAGCACAAGATGTTAGACTGAGATGACCTCTGATTTCATACCACCTCTTGTTTATTCCATCAACCCATGGAAACGGTTTACAATGGACTCCATGGACATGAGGAGGATGCTTTGAATGAGAGATTGCTAAATCACTAATACTTCAGACTAATCCCTGGTGCTCTTCGCTCTCTCCTCCCACGCCTTTCTCCCTTGCTTTTAGTACAATTTCAGTCTTGATTTTGCATGGAGCACTTTAACCCTCAGCTGTTCTCCTGACAACATGAGCAATCAATGTCCGCTATCTCTCTGTATATCTGTCATGATCCAACTTTACCAAGCACAAAATAGAATGAACAAAAAGCTGACAATATGATCCACAATGTAATATATACAGTCAGAGTCACTGACATTATTGATTGAATGATTCACAAAAAAAGTTCAAGTCAGTGAGTTTTGTAGGAGTGAATTGCATTTTTGGAATCAAGTAGAAATACTACAGATAAACCCATAATAGTACATAACAGTATCAAATGACTCGTAATTAAACAAACTTAACAAATTCTAACAACTTAAGAATTTTTAAATTTTAAATATTCTCTCTGAGGAAATGTCATGTTTTCTGCTATGCTGTGCTTTATTTTTTCTTATTCAAGTTAATATGCCTTACAGCTTTCTTATGCCTCCCTGTATAGCTGTCATGTAGTGTTTTCTTAATCTGTTGCCTTTTCCTGCCCTCTCATTCCTCTCCTCTGGAACATTATCAGCACTGAGAGTAGATAAGTCTTTGGAGCTAGTTAAAAAAAATATATATATAATTTCTATTGCTGAGGAGAGACTATATGGAAAATATGAGGTCAGTTGAAGTTCATCCGCTGTCCATATAGTCAAACACCATCAAGTTCGTCACTGTTTTACAGTGGCAATGGGAGACTGTATGCTCCTTTGCCTTTTATGCTCCCAGTAGAGCTGTCCTCATGAATAAAACCTTCTGGCTCGGGGCCTCCAGCTCTGAATATATAAACACAGATTTGACATAAGACATTAAACCCCAGCCGGTAGAGCTGCAAAGCCGGGTCACTGATGCTCCAGAGACATCCAGTCCACTTCACTTAACTCAAGTGTGTATGTCACAACACTTGTCACCGTACTCTCAAATGCGCACTGTAGTGCACAATGTAGCAGATGCAATTGTATGGCTTATTCAGTATCCTCACTCTGCTGAGTTTATCAAAACCATGCACGCCTTATTTATTCATATTGTTTCATGTCCACTAAAACAACATTTTTGTGATTATCACCAGCTTGATTTCTCTTTCCAGGCTGTAGTTGAAAACAGATAGTGCCCTGAGCATTGACACAACTTTAGAAAATCGAGAGGGCGAGTTTAGACCAAAGATTCGTGAGCAGACAAATTGAACGTGCTGATCTGCAACTTTGTGAAAACCTGCTGCAGCTGTCGTTTCCATAGCAACGACTCTGTACTTCCATTCTAACCACTGCTTTTCAGGGTTTTTTTGTAGCTGGATACTTAGTAGCATCTTAAAATATAAATAGTGACTGTGAGTTACTTGCTACAGTTGCAGTTATAGTATTGATGAAACAGCAAAAAAAAAGGGGGCCGGAATTTTTGAAGCAAACACCCAGACATTGTGCAGTGTGACAAAGGGCAGTTTGTATATCTTGTTTAAGTACATTTTAAGGCTTGTGTCATACAGACACAGGTGTTCCTCAAAAAAATTAATGAGTTGATCCTCTCTTTCTTCCGTCCAAAACTCCATTGGACCTTTTGTAACTAACTTGACAAGCTAACTTTGCTATGAGCTGATTGGCTGTTGAAACAGTTCATGTGCCTTCTGTTGTAAAGCCAGCCACTGGTGACTCAATTTACACTGCTGTAACTTTTCCCCGCAGTGGTCTACAACCGTTTCATCTGTATGGTCTAAGAGAGAGACAGAGATCATAGTTAGCCTGTACATAAAGCCATATGCAATGAATTACACTTCAGAAAGAATTAATGTCTTTGTCTTTCATATTAATGTTATCAGCTTCCTGCTGCAAATTCTCTTCTGCTATATTCTGCTCCCCTTTCCTCCATATATTTTTCATGTCTTATCCTTCCTTCCCTCTCATTAATCTGCATATAATCTCTTTGCTGTTTTCATTGAATGTCCCCCTCCTCAGTCTCAGCTTTGGTTTACCTCACTCACTCCCCATTTCTTAAATCCCCCACCTGTTTGTCCTCTTCCCCTTGTCCTTCTCTTTTTCCTCCACACTGTTCTCCTCAGGTCTCCTCTTCCCTCCATCCTCCCTGCTCATGTCTCATCAAAGCTCCCCACAAGGAGTTGGACAGATCCGACCAACTGACAACAGTCTCACCGTCTGTACTGACATGAATTGGACAGCACACTAATAAATGGGAATGGCTCAGCAGTGACTCGCCCTTGAAAAACTTCTGGTATTTGTGGTAGTGACTGTACCACATGGAAGAACACACCTGGTGTGAATGCACTTGTGCCTTATTAACTGAAATATTCCTCAACAGAAACCTCTCTCATTGTCAGTTATTCAGTCTAGTAACACCTGTCACAGACTGACACAAGTTTGCTGTCACACTTGATACTGTGTCTCAGTTCATCTCTTCATCTCCTGCCACTTTTCCTTCATCCTTGTTCCGGTGACAAGTCTGAAAGGTTAATCTCCCTTTCCTCCTTTCACTTTCTTTTTTCTCCCCCTTTCTCTGTTTTCTTACCCTTAATACTTTTTTTTTCTCCTTCCCCCCTTTCCTTTTTCTGACCTTCACTCCTAACCTCATAGTGAAACTGGCTATCTCAGGTGAGATGCTATCAGTGTGAGGCGAGGAATTCAGATCCGCTCTTGACTCTGCAAGGAAACAATAGGTCACATAGTCCCTGGAAGGTTTAGACGAGTTGTCTTCTGCTTCATGTTTTTGTAATACTTCAAGCACTGTTGCAATATTAAGTTTGACTTCCATCAAATGATTTTTATATGATATGATTTTTGCTCTTTTATGTTTAATTTGTTCTGCACATTTCATGGATATGCTGCTCTGTTTTAAAAGGAGGTTGGATAAGAAGGTTTTCATCTGTAGAGAGATTTGTCCAATAGGTTGCTAGCTTAGCTTAGCACAAAAAAAACTGAAGCGAGGGGAAAGAGTTACCTTCGCATTTGCAAAGCTGCATTCTAAAACTTTCAAATTTCTGTTCAATTTGCACATTGTTTCTTGTGCTTTGTCTTCTGTTGGAAGTTAGCTGTTTGTCTCTGCTTCCAGTGCTAAACCTGGACTCAGAAATGAGATTGATAGTGACCTTCTCATCCAACTTCTGAAATCAAGAAATCAAACAAGCATAATTCCATAAAAATATTGAAAATTAATGGAAATAGTTTAGTACACTGTAACTGTTTTGTGAACACAACTGCAGTGGTGAGGGCACAATTCAGAGGGTTTTTATTAAATCACCCTGCCATCAAGGTAATGGTGAGTTTGGTTGATAAACGTAAGGAATGTGCTTACCTACATCTCAGCTACACCACTGTACAACTTTTTCCTGCACGTCCCACCCAATTAAGATGATTATAATATAATAATAATATTTTTACTTAGTTAAATGTTTACAACATAACTATGACCAAAGGATGTATATCTTTCTGAACACTGTTTTAAATCATTTCAGAGAATAAAGACATGATTACTCTTGACACAGAAGAGTATGGAGCTTTAAATAGCATCTTTAATGTGTCTATGATCCCGTTTGCCACTTTACTGTTAAAGAAGCATTATTGGGCTTTTGCACTCATGTTCAGTACGTAAAATGTCCTAATATTCTGCATCGTCTTTTGCTGTCATTTAAGTTGAGCCTTGGCTATTGGTATACACACACATTTAAAATGCTAGACACAAGCTAGTGGGATCATAAATTGTTGCTGTTGACTATGAAGCACAGTAACAAAGGAAATCTATTCAGAAGGTTACTGTTGGGATTGAACTTGACAAAATATTTGCTGCTAACTTCATACTTGAAATCTCTGGATAGTTTGAGAAGGTTTTCATTGTTTCACTGTTGACTGTACATGCCTTTATTTTTAATGCCTTCTTATTACTTTAAATAAGTTTTTCTTTTTTAGATTCCTGTATAAATACATTCAGACCTTCTGTGAAAAAACTATAAGAGAGCAGCTTTCTTTTGAAGAAGAGGAGGCAGGTAGTAAACTAGCTGGTAACCTAAGACTATGATAGGTCTCTGAACAGAGTACCTATTTACTATTTAGTGTTTGCTTGGGAGGAGACTGTATATCCTTGGTATGTGTGTCTGTGCTTTTTTTCCCCTTCTTGTCTTATGTTTGTGTTAATTGTCAACATGAGGGCTCGGTATATCCTCACTGCCCATTGTGTTTCCTTCATGGATTACTTAACATGTGGGAGTATTTATATACATTTGGTTTGTGAGTCGTCTGGCAAAGCATTGTACTTTTCTTCATATATTTGTATGTGTGGTGCTTTAGCTCCAGCTAATATATACTGCTCATTTTTCACTGTGTCTTCAGGCTACAGAAATATGAGGTAATTACGAGGCTGCTGGAAGAGCTTCTACCAAAATCCATGTATCAAATGTTTTGCTTCAGGACGCTCCAGGTTCTGAGAATATTACACCACATTATTTCCCTCAAAAGCTATTACTTATTATCACAGGCTGAATCTTGCTTCTGTAAACCGGTTCCTTTACCTCCTGAGAAGACATGTGGTTTTGAGCAGAGTAATTTATTTTTAGGGCTTCCCTCTTTGGATACACAGCTTCCATACCTTCCCTGTAGAAAGTGCTCTAACTCCCTTTGTACTTTATTGTTATTCCTGATGATATGATGATTGATTCGTAATACAGTAGATGTATGATCGTATTTGCCAAACTGAAGCACCTATGAGCTTACATGATTTGCAAGGAGTAATCAAGGAGTAATTATTTTAGATTTACTTATTACTTTACATAAGCAACAAATGTTTGTTTTTCAAATATATTTTTCCAAACAGTAGCCTAAATTCTGTATTATTTTTTTGGCTTTATTCGTTTTATTCTAATTTTGTTGTTTGTTTATGGGAAATTGGTATTATTCTAAAATGTCCTCTGATATATCACCGTGGGCCAGTTTTGCCATCTTTTCAGAGTCCATTCATATCTTATGGATGCTGCAGGTAAGTTGTAAAGCTGTATAAATCAGAATTGTTCTGTTCCAGTTTTACATTATCTCTTCCATTGTAATTGTTTGTGTTTATATTGAAGTGCAGTTGTTGTTAAACTCCCATCTTGATCGGCCGCTTCTTTTATATCTTCCTCTTCTCCCTTCTCATTAGTGTGCCCGTGGTTGCTGACCTGATGGAGACATGTATTGATGATGTCCTCAGGACTCCTGTTGTTCCCATGGTGACAGCTATAGAGGAGGCTGGACCAAGCAATGCCTATGCCACTACCAGTGTCACAGCAGAGGATCTGCTCAGCCTCAATGGTGAGGCTCTTGAAAACCTATCAGTGTTAAATCAGTGTAACAATGACAGTTATGCTAAGAAAAAAGAAAATATTTCAAATTTAGTTTTCGAGGCAAATCGTCCTCTAATCCTGTAAATGTATATGGCAGGATAATATAGTGACAGTGTGCCAGATTGTGAGACACTGGCACCACCACTCAAGCTCACTGTTTATACATTTGCACTGCAGTCATTAATAAACCCAGAGATGATTATCTGTGGTTCATGTTGTTAATAAGTAAATGAAACAGAACTTCTAGAGAAGAAACTTCAAAGTAAATAAAGTTGTTGTATGTGTGCATTCAAATGTATCTGTGCATGTCCTCAGAAGCAGCAGCTCGTCTGAAGCAGCTGGAGTTGGAGAGCAGCCCACTTCTTGCTACTCCAAGAAATAACGTTAATGTCAATATGGCCATGAACAATCAGGTGGGTGTTTGTTGATAAAGTATTTTTACTAAAACCAACACTAAATAATAAAAGCCTTTTGTTGCCTTCTAGATACACTCTAGTCTGCATAGGATGAGGTCAGGCTTATTTAAAGGCAAATCAAATTTAATTCAGTATTTAAACAAAACATTTTTTTCCATGGGAACAGGAGGATGTGGTGAAGCTCACAGAGAAGTCTGGTCTGAGCAGTACAGGCAGTAGTCCAGTTGTCACTCCACTGCGCACCCCGGAGGATCTGAAGAGTAACATCCTGAAGGCACAAGCTGAGGCTGCCCTCAAGGTGAGGAACACACTACACTAAAATGAACAAAAAGAGAGAGGAGGAGGAGGAAACACTTAAGATAATGCAGTTACAGTACTTTTGTCTTCATATGGTAATTCTCAAACCATTGTCAGCTAAACTAAATGAGCATATCAAGTTACTGAATATCAAAAGGCTTTGGGGAATGACTGCAGCCTTGCTGTTTTCATCTACATTAGTGCTTCCACATTCTACTTCAGTGTGCAAGTGTAATGAATGAACAGTGAGACTTCACTGAAATGAATTTAAATCTTGTGCGTTGATGGAAGGAGGTTCAGGAGGAGATCCAGACGGCATAAGCAGAAGCATTTATTGAAGCCTGATCAATCAAGGAGAAAAGAGAAAAGCAGTATAAGTTAACAAGTGTAATGTCACCAAATACTGAAGGATTTCCTCCTGGTTAACTATGTTTAACCTTATACCCCCATCATACATACTACATGTCCAAAAACGGTTATTCTTCATGCAACCACATCACATCCATACATGTGTGTTGATTATATTGGGTACCTAATCCTAAACATTAAAACACATTTACCTAAATCACATTGTGTACAACTATGGAACTTACATCTTTCGCAGAGAAGATGTGTGTAAATCATGACCATGAGGGGTGTTGTGACTATTCACCGGAGACTCTGTCTTCTGAGGGTCTGTGCTTGACCATGGTTACCAATGGTAACTTCCAATGGGGTATGGGCAGTAAGGGCACTGTGTGTGTGACCTGTGGGGAAATACCACATAGAGACCTAAAGACTTAATAACAAAGAAAAAATCCTTCACAAATTGATCCATGGACTTGTGCTGGTTGTGTGTGCTCCATGGTTTTTAATGAGCTTGTCTTTGATTGAATGTTTGTCAGATTGAACCTTGCGGCTTATTATTCCTCATAACATCAGCCCTGTCCACATGACTTCAACAAGATCACTCTTTGTACAAGTCTTTGTCCCTCCTTTGATGCCTCTGATTGGTTTAAGAAATTGAAATAATGACTATTTTATTCATGTATCTCAAACTATAGTGTAACAACAGAGTATGGAACTTAACAAGGTCTTATCCAGGGCTTTTACACCTAACCCCTTTGATACAGCATGTTTTTGATCTTGCCCTAACATAGTGTCACGGCAGAATTAAATCATCACAGCTATGATATATCACACCTCCACTGCTGTCTATCAGAAATGTGGAATGTGTCATTGTTATGAACTTGTAATGGTATTCTGCTATTAAGTGGACTGGCGATGTGTGCCTGTGTAAGTCCCCTATTCCCAACACTTTTCTCTGTCTGTCTGATCATCCACTTATCTCTCTCTGTTTACCTCTGTGTAGGGCTCTTTGGAGGAACATGCTGTAATGGTTGGAGATAAAAACTGTAACTTGCAGGAAGCTTCTGCCAGGTATGACCTCACAATTACACATTTTTCAAAGCTTACTAATCTATAGTTACAAAATGATGATAAATGAATGAATGAAAAAAAAATTTTTTTAAACTGAACTTGAGTGAGTCAACTGACGCTCTTAAAACTATGCAAAATATACTGTGTATATTTTTGTAGAATTATATTGCATTTTTTGTCACAATCTCCTCTCCTTTAAAGTACAGCACTGTCAGTATAGCGCGAACATGTACAGGAGAGGAGCCATTGTCGCTTGTGTTTCATTGTCTTGAAACTGGGCCTTTTCCCCTCCTCCTCCTTCATCTTCCTGAGTCATACCAACTGTCATTGCATTGTCTCGACCAATCACACATCACAATCCTTGCTGGTGGAGCTGATTAACCTCTTGAATATTCATGAGGATTATTAGCATAGCTCACAACATTACATCACCTGCAGCTCATCCCTATAAGCAAGGCCATACAGATAAGACAAGCAGGTCCCTGTCTTGTGTCAGAGGCACTAAATGACTCAAACTGGAGGAGAAGCCACATTAGATTTGATAAAATCTGTTGGTCACAAATTTAGTTAAAGTCGCCTGATTGCATGGCCTCAAGATATGGTTTAACAAGACAAAGGGATTTACTGAATCTGATATGTTTAAAGATTAATTAACTTGTAATAAAAACGTGGATAAAAATAAATTCTTTACAGAACTATGATATAGCTTAAAGTAAGATAAAATAATGCATACTATAGTGCAGAGATTTTACTCAGTGTAATAGGATGAATTTGATCCCGTCCTGTGAGTCATGTTATTCCTCTGTAAATCATACTGAATATGTCATGCAGGTTAGCACGTTATGTGAACATTCACTACTAAAAGATGCGCTGTGTTTCTCCAGGTTGAAGGTGCGTAGCGGGCGAATGGGCAGTAACTCGTCTCTTTCTGTCACCAGTCGGCCTGACACCCAGGACTCCTGGGACCTGCTAAAGCCAGCTTCACTGATCTCATCAGCAGGGGCCAGGTCAGTGTGCTTGCTTGTGTGTATGAAATGCTTTTGTGTTCAATTTTTACTTTGCATGTGCACTCAGCACATTATATTTTTTCACCCACTTAAATGCTCTTGGGCACAGGGAGAACAGATTAGTCAAAGAGGAAGTCTTTGACACTAGCTGCAAATATGTAACTTTCTGAGAGGACTGAGACACACACATGATCTGTTTTTCTCTTCTCTTTTATCTAACTTTAAGTCAAATGATAAACTTATTGAAAATTGTCACCAATATTTTTGTTTTAGTTTGTCGTTTAATGCAAAGTTTTGTCATGGATTAATTAAAGGAGGGCATGAAATAGTTATAAGTAATGCTGTAAAGACGGAGTTTAGAGAGTAAAAACCAGGGTGCACCTAGATTACATTGCCAATCTGCTTTTTTCTCAGTATATAACCTCAATATATAATGTTGTCTCACGGATAATTATATAGGCCTGTTTTCACCCAAATAGAACATAAAATATAAATAATCCAGATTTCACAGTGATCAGAGACAAAGATGCTACTTGTTCTTTATAGTCTTTGCTGACATCTGTTGGCATGTTTGGGTAATGCATGTGTGTATGTGTTTGTGTTTGTGTTTGTGTGAGTGTGTTGGGTCACATGACTCGAGTTCTGCCTGGATACTGCTGGTGTCGCTGCTCGAAAGTGTTTACAGTAGGATGACACAAAAATACAGACACACACAGACGCTTGACCAGACAATTCACAAAGGGTGTTTTGGCTCCAGGCTCATTGATGCAGTAAATGCTTCTGCTATTCAGGCTGTTTTTCTTCTACAGTCTGGAGAAAGGAGACTCATGTTTTGCTTAAACTAAAAACTGATTAATCACCATTAATCGACAATAATTTTGACTATCAGTTAATCTTTGAAGGCATTTATCAAGAAAAAATGCTCAACTTTCCGTTTAAAGCTTCTCAAATGTTTAGGTTTTTTAGTCATATGTATTTTTATGAAGCAATTTTGGCCATATAGGTGATACAGGTAATACATTTCAGTCGCTTCATTTTCTATAACAAAAATAAGAACAAATGGTGGAACAGAAGACAAGAACACACACATGTCCACTCGAACAAACAAGACCCTGTAAGACAAGTGCAAGTGCTGAAATAAAGATTATAAATAAAGATAAAGATATTGGGCTTATAATTTATGGGGGAAAAAAAAGTTTAGGTTTTTTTTCTTTTCTGTGTTAAATACTGTTTACCCTGGGGGTTTGAACTGTTGGTTGAGCAACACAAGTCATTTGAAAACATTATGTTGGGGCTGTGTGGTTGGCTCAGATAATTTAGGGATTTCTCCAATCATATGAACAAGAAAGTGCATGGATTGTTATTGGATTGTTATGGATTGAAAGTTAAATGTGTTTATTATACCAAGGATGAGGAACAGGAAATACAATTATGTCTGTTTCTATGAGGAATTCTCTATGAAGTAGAGCAGAAATCTGAAATTCTCTATTCTTTTATCATTTTTTCTCTTCTTCCATTCATCAGTGCCGAGAGGTTAGCTGAAGATTTAAATCCCTCTGCTCCCAAGATGCCCTCTGAGTCTGCTGGTGAAACCATGGCACCAAAGGTAGCTAGTTATTGTGCTGCATTTACATTTGTCACCATGAATCCTTTTACACATTTACAAAGTGTTTGCTGTTATTTAGTGCATTAGTGCATATTTAGTCTGCAGAATAAATATGACTTCATTGAATTTTTCAAGCATCATAACATTAACTGTATTACACATTATGATGGTACAGGTAAATTTTACATGTCCATTCTATTGTACTGATGTGACTCATGGAGGAAACCTACAAACTGTGACAACTCTTTAACCTGAGGCTGTTACTCTTTAATAAAGATGTACGCAGGCTGCTCGTGCGGCTCCTGTTGATGTTTGTGTCACGTTGATCCTAATGTGAACTGATTGTCTAATCCAGGATTTATATGGGTTTCATTGTTGTTTGTATGTTGTGTTTGAGAGTGTTTGTGTCATTCTGCAGGTTAAAGCGGAGGAGGTTGACCTGCAGAACAGTGCTCCACTATCTGACAACCTGATCGACTTCACTGATCCAACTCCTGCAGTAAGTCTTACGACCACTGCATGTGCAACAGTTTTCAACTCCTGCAACGAGTTGTCATTTAATCATTTTCTGAGAGTTTGCAAGCAACTGTGCAGCAGGAAATGCTTCAGTGACTTTCTCAAGAGCAGCAAGAAGGACACACTGGTCATTACAGGGAGTTAACCACTGACCTTCACCTCAAGACAAACTCAGTCTAACCACATGAGTGGACTTTAACAATACATCACTTATTCACCCTCATTCAGAAAAGTTAAACCCATGTCTGCAGCCCTGGCCACAGTTGCTTCCAACGCTACCAGACTTTAGTGAATGTTTATTTCTATAGGGAGGAATTTAATTCAATGTAAGTGATGGTTAAGGTTTACAGTATTTATGAGTATATAGTCTGAAACTGACCTAAACCAAGAAAGAAAGAGAGTGAATGTGTGTGCGGGAGAAAGAAACTGAACTGGAAATGAAGATGATGATTTTATTTGTATGGAAAGTAGACTTGCATTCAAAAATCTCTCTGTTATCCATGGAAATAAACCTGCTTCAGTGAATGCACCGCACCCTTATAACAGTATGGTCATAATATGATCAAAATGTCTTCCAGCTACCATCAGTGCAACAGCCCAAACCTCTCATCACACCTCGCTGGATCATTCCAACAACTGCTGTGAGTGGTCATTCTCTGTCAAACTTTTCTCCTGCTCAACTGTCTTCCTGCTTTTGTCTCTGCCTGGTCCTTTCTTTCCACAGGGTCTTTGAGAAATCTTTCAGGCAGTTATGATGTACATTTAATTATTTTAATTTGTGTCCATTGTCCTAAAACTGGTGATGTAAGCCTCAGGATTGTTTCTTCCATATGCACTCGCATAGTTGCTGTAAACTTTGGCTGATGTAGAGGCTCTGTAGAAACTGACCTTCCTTCCCTCCTTCTCCCTCATCCCCCTCTAATGCAGCCTCCTGGTGTCTTTACTAACGGCCTGCTCGACCTCGACCCCCCTGCTAAGGTCGCCCCTCTTCTCCCTGCAGATGGGGGAGCTGCTCTCACCCCAGCCCTCCCCCACCTCGCACGCACACGTAACACCAGCTCCGCCAGGTAAAATTCTTGAGATTTGAAGCAAAGCGTTTAAAAGTTGCTTTTAAAGCCAGCGTTGTAGTGTGCTGACCAAGCAAGAAAATGCTTCCTACAGCTAGACTCCCAATGCAAAAGCCCTTCAGATGGGCAACAAGTGAAACATAACTGACTAGGATGTGTAGCTGTCTTTGCACTTAGCTGAAATCGCTTGTAATTCATACTTGACTTTGGTACTTTGAGAAATCATGAGTTTTCTTTGAGGCTTAAACGTTGTTTCTGTCTGTGAACCACTAATATATATACTGCAGAGTCCTTGATGAAACATGTTGTAATGCAGGTTTTTCTTGCTGTAAACTGGTTGGCAAAGAAATTCTCATGGACACAGAGCAAAATAATGTTGAGAATGATGTCAGCTGTGTAATTTACCATGTGATGGATGTTTTATCTCATCTGTTCTTCATCATAGTTGTGTTTTATGAATACAGCAAAATGTTTTTCAAGAGCCATATGCTCACAAATATTTAATCAACAAGAAAGTGTGTGTTCAATGTTCAGTGGTCTTTATCTCTGATCCAGTAACTTAGCATCCTGCCCCTCCTTTGTGCCACAGCACTGCGGCTCAACCACCAGCCTCGGAGGATGGAGCCAAACCCAGAGGTCTCCTGACCACTGAGCTCTGATGAAGAAACGAGGAGCCACCACCATCAACATTCATCTCCCAGACGGCTTTCCCACCTCATCCCATCACATCCCATCACCCTCTCACCCTTCCACTCACAGGCAAGCCGGGCCGGATGCGCTGAACACTGTGGGCTAAGAAGAATGCCAGAAGGAAGAGGCAGCTGATTAGCACCACAATTTCAATTGCACCCACACTGACAAACAGATAGAAGGAAATGTACACAGATCAGCAATAGGAATGTGAGCACAGTTTCTCACAACACCAAACTTAGTTTTTGTAAAACCAGTAAAACAAACATTTAGTTCCAGTATTAACATCTTAAGAACATGTAACCTGTGAATTTGCTGTTTGAGTTTCACCGTTAGTGACCTGCCATTTATTTAATCCATCCAGTCAACCAAACCTCAGCCTCTAACCACCAGCACCAACTTCCTGTAGAAAACAAGTAATGACAGTCATGTCTGCTACAGAGGTCAAGTTGAGGCTCATACACAGAAATCCACCATCTCATGACTGTAAGGTACGTTGCATAAAAGTATCAACCATTAGCTTCTGACATAAATGGTAGGTTGTCTCTTTTAGTGCTACTCTCCCACCACCCTTTTGTTTTTTAAATCACTGGCAATGAATAGCCACTGGATCCCTGCTACTCTGAGCTTTTCTGCTGAACTACACTGGAACTGGACTGAAAAGACAAGTCTAAAAATTAAGGACAGAAAGACACTTAACTTAAGACTTAACTTAAGATGTTGATTCTAAGAGATAAACAGCACCTGGACTCTTGACATGATGAAACACGTGGACGTGATACTGTACTGTCCTTGTAGCACACTGCAAAACCTTTTTTAAACCCAGTCAATACTACATGTGAAACTTGTCTGTTGCAGCCACTGGATATGAACACTACTCTGGATTATCTTTGCAACACTGGACCTTGAATGAATTCTTTGCAATGGATGATGATTAAGACGACAACTTCGGTTTTTCAACTTTTGTTTTTATTATCCTGCTCTTACACTTTTGTCTATTTTTGATGCTTTTATTTGCCCTTTGCATTACATTTTAAATCTGCACATTTTGGTACCAGCGTCAAGAGGGACTAAACATCACTAACAAAATTAGAACACTTTGTCTAAAATGTGATTCAATAATAAGCTTCACTGGAAACCACTGCTTTCATATGCTGATTTTTTTTTATTTTTTTTTTAGTTATCCACATTAATTTTAATTTGTAAACTGTCAAAAACTCTTAAAGTTAATTGTGATCGTTGGAGTACATGATGGACAGTCAGTCCAAGTTGAACTCGGGATAATTGAACTCATTTTAGACACTAATTTGACCCTTTTATAGACAATGACTCAAAGTATTAACATGCTGTAGCTATTACCCTGCCTTATGTAAATGAATGTATTCAAAATGTCTATTCCAAGAATGCTGGAGTACAAATATATGACTTGTACAACATCTCATCTTGAATCCACATTTGCTAATACTCTTTATAACCGAAGGAAAACTTTTTGTACCTGTGAAATTGAGGCCTAATTCTACATTGTCTGAGTTATTAATGAACTTTATCACACTGACTAAAAGGTAGAATTGTAGATGTCATACATTTTTTTTTACCCCATACATCATAACCACTGAGTCTGGACCCTCATTCAAGTTATGTCTATGTAGCTTTTTTTTAGTATGATGCTGATGAAGGGAAGCTGACTGTTTTACATTGTCTTCTTAGCAGTGACAGTTATTTATGCTACTACTCACTGTAATTGCTCAAATATTACATGTTGTCCAAAAGTGTTGTAGCATACAGTTACAATGTATTATCAGTATAATGGCATCAGCTGGCTGTAGATATGAAGTAGATTTATATATATATTTTTTTTTTTGAAGATGATGTTGGCAGTATTGTTACTACACACTAAGGAGAATTTCAGCATTGAGGTGTTTTCTAATTACAAAACAAGTAGGAATTGTGTCACTGATCAAACTGGGGAAAACACAAGTTGTGACATCTCAATTTCATTTTTATATAAACTTTTCTTTTTTTTTTTTTCCTGGAATACCTTGATCATGATTCAGTAAAGCTTTGCTACAGTAGGAGTCAGTTGTTTTTCATTCATTTTCATTCTTTAGCTACTGTTAAAATTATTTGCAAAGGAGGTTATCAGTGATCACAGTTTGATTTAAGCAAGATGTGAACCTGATTTTCTACCCTGCTGTGGACCAGATGTGATTTTGTCTGGTTAAACCTATTATGAAACAATAGCCTGGATCACTCAAAGGTTAAGAAAAACAACATATTTTGCATTCCTACTTAGCCGCCCTGTCTGTTATAAGTAAAGCTCTTGTATCTGTATCAGTGGCCTGTTTAAAAAATTGTTTTTTAAAGCAATAGCCTGAATTTGAGTTTATTTACTAGTCACCATTTGTCATCTAATGGAGTGCTCAGCAAAGTGGTATTTTTTGCCATTGCACCCCTCAAAAGGATGTGATTTAATCCTACTATTTGAAGTGCATCATCCACTAAAATAAAGGAAAAACCTACTTTTAAAAACAACTAATAAGATCTAAGAAAACAATGTGAATTAAGAGTTCTGTCTAGTGTCATACAGACATTAAAGGAAATTTACAAAGTAATCAAACTGGTTCTTCAAATTATCCATTGATAATGAATGATGTGCTGACGGGGCCCAGTTGCCCAGGTGTTACATTTTGTAGTTACAAACTACTGAGATAATTACTAACAGGCTGATATGAAACTCTTCATCACTCCTTTAGTCCATGTGTTCAGCTCTCTGTCTCTGTGTTTTGGTAAAACCCTAAAATACAAGTGGCCACAACCTGCACCATTTTGGCTGCACAAAGAATTTATCACTCAGCTGACCCAGGGTGGTTGGAATGGTGTGAATTTCCTCTCCGTGCAACAGAATCTATAACATCAGCTGCAATCACAAAACACACTTTTCCTTGTATATCGTTCACCTTCATTTACATTCCAGCAATTTATGGAACATGTTTCAAGTAAACTTAATATATAATGCAAGTCCTATTAAAGTGACAGACGTATATGAGTTATAAGTTATGTGACTTGTAAACTAACACTGTGCAGACTTGCAAAGAGACACAGTCCTTTTACACATGTTTGTATTGGCAGACATTGGGACTTGTTATGGTAGGAAAAGCACAGGTGTTACTAATAACATTAATTAACTATGGTTCCGTTATGTTGCTGATGCCATTTTTACTGTGTGTTGTGGTTAATTCACCACAGGATGGCAGCACAGAACCATTTTTACCTCTGGTGCGCGGAGAACTGAACAGATGATTTTCCTCTAACACCATTTACACTCCTGTTTATATAATATACACAGTTTTCAGTGTAGTACCACTAACATCGAAGTTTTAATGCATTAAAAAGTGGGCTCTTTCCAGATTAGGGTTCTCTGGGGATGAATTTAAACACTCTCTATGCCTTTGAATTTGAACAATCATTTTGTATGATCTAATTTCTTTTTTTCACATTGAGGTTAAATTCAACATAAGCCCTCTGGGTTTCTAACCTCACCTGGACATCCACTTCATAAAAAAACTATATACAGTGTATTTATAATGTTTAATGTGTGTGAATAAATAAATCACATCAAATCAATCTATGATAGACTAATTTTTATCAACATATGGAATTATCATCTTATCTGACACACACTCATCACAGACTTTAACAGGATTTCAGTGAATATTTCCTCCTGATTATACTTGCTGTGTCAATAAATCACAGTCTAATATCTCCAGGTTGAAGATTAGTGTCTCGTTTGCTCAGGAAAGTCTATTAATCAGATCCAATATGAGCGATGTCTGTATTAGGGACACTGGAGTTATTTGTGGGAGTGGATTGGTGTTAGAAGAGTGTGTAAATGATAAGTAATGCTCACAGCACCATTCTCAAGCACCTTTCTTTCTTTTTTGAATGAACAGTTGTTTCATCAACAAGAACAAAACATCCCCTCCCTCCAAGCCTATATGGACCACAGTTGGGTGGCTCTTGCCAAATAAAGTAAAATAAAATGAAATAAATGAAAACATGCGCCTTCAGAATTGCATCACATTATAAAATCTTCAATCAGTACTGAAATGAAAGCAGAGACTCTGCTGGTGTTTCTGAACTGTCCTCTTGGTTTACATTTAAAATGCAGTAACTTGAAATTGATTGACTGCGACTGGTCCATGCTACAGAGCAATACATAGTTGGACCATTATTAAACAGCAGACTGGCCTACAGCTCAATAACTCAGCCAGGACTGCTCCCCTCAGCAGATGGGCTGACTTTCCCCCACCTTCCAAATGAATAATTGATTACGTACATGGACCTTATGCCAGGTCATGATTGCTTAAGCATGCTCAAGGCTCTGGGTGGATTCTTGGAGATTTGGCTCTGGGCCTGTGCCCTGATGTCACCAGCTCAGATCCATCTAAAAGCAAACATTACATGTCCTCTCCTAAATCTTAATATTCTTTAAGGTCGGATATCAGTACTGTTGGGTGAAAACCAAAAGCCTTGTTTATGGCTTGACGACCAGCTGTCTAATGTAAGTTTTCATTCTGAGATGGATTCATTAATCCCATAAAGAACATCGGGGCATATGAAACAGAAACAAATCAGCAGAACTGAACTCCAAGGTTTCCTTCATGAAATCTGCAAAGAAAAAATAAATGTCAGTATTCCATCATCTTAAGTGCATCTGTTTGTCAGTAATGACATGCCTAAGGTTTTGGTAGGTTATTTGTTGTTATTTACATAAGACAGAGTACTTGGTGCCTTCAAATGGGGCCATTTAGGGTGTTTCATGTTAGATGAGGCCATTAAAAGGACTCTCTAATGTTATTCATGAATTTGTGGCAAATTTTCTAAAAGCTCTGGAGTCGCCAAAGTGTGACTTGTGATATTTTTTAAAAATGTCATAGCTCATGGAAGGTACTTTTTATTTATATCTGTTTTCTGTTTCTCATTTGTAGTTCCTCAAAATCTCATACCAGTTTTGAAAACGGAACACTGCAGCATGCATTGTTGTTCTCATAACTTCCTCTAACACCAAGACCACATGATTTTCCTACACTGAAAATATGATTCCCATTTTAAACCATACATTACAGAGCCTTCAAAACCATAGCATGGGTTAAAACAGCCGCAGGGCCTGAGTTAGCCACCTGCACCACACTGACCTGAATGATAAAGACTGAAAAAACACCACCAATGCTATGGGCAGGTGACTATCACTGTACTAGTCATGTAACAACAAAAATGAAAATAAAAAAATGAAAAGAACAATAAAAATTTTAAAATTTTAAAAAAGTAATGATCTGATTTGCACCAAACTTGGTGAACCCATTAAATTTTGATGTAGGTCCCATTACATGGGTGGGTCCAGGATTTTTTTTTTTTATCACTTTCCTTAATGTGTAAGATTGCTTGGCATATGTGCTCTACCGAGTGCAATTCTAGTTATTACTATTACAATACATGTCTATGTGGAACCTGTACTGTGCTATGTTCTCTTTCCTCCTGCAATCCAGATTGTAGTATTTTTTAACTTAGCACCTCCCCATGAGAGCTGGTTTTCATCGCACTAGAAATCACCCAATCATGTTTCAAGAACAAAATGTAACTTATCTAAAGTCCTTTTGAGTCATCTATCTCAGGCGTAAGTCAAGTCTTGAGTCATGAACACCAAGTAAATGTCAAGTTGAGTCTTTTCAGTGTTGGTCAAGCCAGTCCCAAGCCCTCAAATTTGACTTAAGTCAAACTTGAGTCAAGTCATGTGACTAAAGTCCCCCACCTCTGTTAGCCAGCAATGTATTATTTTTCATGCTTAATGGTTAATGTAGCTAGAATAAATGAGCCGCCAACAGTGGATTCATTGTTTAACCAGACCCTTCCAAAGACAAAACAAAGAAAGAGATACACCTAGTGGCTTTATTTTGAAGGATGAATCAGCAGAGTCTGCACCAAATGCACCCAAAAACAAATTTCCACAAAAGGGGGGAAAAGGTTTCTCTGCTTTCTGTCCAAACACACCTTACAGTTTCCCATTAAATCTGGGACTGTGTGCCAAAGAAACATATGGATGAATATCTCCTGGGAGATAGAAAATCAAAAGATTCTTTATGGACATGTAAAATCAAATTCTTTTTCATCTATTGAGTCCATGTGAGAAAAAAAAATTAAATCTGTACCAAGCTGATTTTTTGTGTTGCTAATTAAAACAAGCTTTCACTCTCTGGGTAAAATCCAGATACTGATGAAACGTACTCTGCTCCTGCCCTCGCATCTGTCTGCATCAGTTTGTCTGTTCAGACTGTCACATCCTGATGAAGTTTCCCGTTTCTCCAGAATAAACTGACCTTGAAGAAAAGTTTCATGTTCCAAAAGACGAACAAATGGTGGAGCATCTGGACGGGAAGACAAAATGAGAGCTAAAGATTCTTCTTTTTCAATGAGTGTGAGCTGTGTGTGTGTGTGTGTGTGTGTGTGTGTGTGTGTGTATGTGTGTGTGTGTGTGTGTGTGTGTATAAACACCAAGGTTGAATTAATCCCCTAGGGGCTGGTCTCAGGTGTATCTATCCAGAGTTCCTGAAAATTCAACAGGTACACTGGTATGAGGAAAATGCAATACCTCTCTCTCTCTCTCTCTCTCTCTCTCTCTCACACACACACACACACACACATACAGATGGGATTCTCTCTGTCTGTCATTACACAATAAAGGCTATTGTGTTGTTTGGCTAGCTGTTGCAGGAGATAGCATTCTCTGACAGAGCATTTTGAAAAGAAGCTTATACATCTCAACTATCAAAATGGGTTTATAGCCTAGGTGTGTGTGTGTGTGTGTGTGTGTGTGAGAGAGAGAAAGAGAGAGAGCGTATGGTCGGTGTGGGGAGGTATTCAAACTCAAAGCTTTGAGATGATAAAGATGTGAGTGAATGGTAATTGATCCCTAAAGGGCTGCATTGTGCCAGTAAGTGTCTACTGTATGCATTTGTTTGTGAGTGTGTGTGTTTGTGTGCCAGGTGAGATTGTGATGTGCCAGATTCAGTAAATGCTTCATTATTCAATACAAGAACTGACAAAGATGTTCACACACACACACACACACACACACACACACACACACACGCACACACACTGCTCTCTCTCTCTCTCTCTCTCTCTCTCTCTCTCTCTCACACACACACACCAGGCCACAGTCCTTAATTGGCAATTTTCATGTCAGCAGTGTGTCTCTCTTTAGGAGAAGCTTATTATTTATCTGTCATGTATGTATTCAGCATTGTGTATTGTCGATTATGCACCAAACAGCTGGACTGAAGCAACCACACACAAATATGGAGATGGCTGCGCGTGCACACACACACGCACACACACACACACACACAGTATGGCACATCTGAATACTAGGTGAAATCTGTACGGTACATTGAGCCTGTGTACTGGATCATTCAAACAGCATATTGTTGATTTTAACCACTTGATCAGTGTGTTCATACATTATCATGAAAATGAATTTGTCACAACC